AGGACGTACTACGACCGAAGCAGATTCTTCCACTCTCCACAATTTTGGCCTCTAACGTAATAACCTTCCAAAGTGTCTGTACCCCCTCTCTCTTGCACTGCCGTAACTCCAGCCACGCTCTGAGGTATCCCACATGGCTTTTGTGCCCACATAACTCCTATCTGTCAAATAAAGACCAACTAGTTTACAAACATTAAGATGAGCTCTGGTTTTGAAATGTGGGGATTGCATATTACCACCTCAAAGGTGTAAACTTTTATGTCAGAAAACATGGTAAGTGATACTAACGGTAGCGATACTTCTCCTTAAGAAAGGAGGTGCAAAATGCCCACTACACGAATATTCAAGAGCACATCACCCCAACAAGGGTCTTCGTCAAATAAGGGGCGATCATTATCCCGTTTGAATAACTCAGTGCATGCGTTTTCGCACTCAACTTGAGGCTAAAATTAAGGGAAGATGAGTTAAAGTTTCAAAAAACGACAAATTTTTGGAGTTTAATGGCCCAAATTCGGGTTTTCACGAGCCAAAAACTAGCATTCATTAGAAGTAAAAAGGGGGTTGGAAATCCCTCCCAATTCCATAAGGCACTCGAGTAAAATAATCACGACTTGCTTCCACAAAGGGGCAACCATTCAGATAAGTTTTTACACTTTTGTGAAGTTCATCTCATGATAAAGTATATCCGACGGTTAAATTTATAATTCCTTTGCCGCTTGATAAACAGATTTTTAGACCTTCTTGGTGAAAAGACCTAGCCACCTCGGTAATACTTATCAGTTTATGTGATAGACTCGTGAGTTGATCGGTGCTTCTGGAGGTGCCAATATATTCACCGTACTTAGCGCCCGTATACCCTCTCAATCCTTCCCTTGCAAGGCTTTGCTGACCTCTTCAAGGTTTAACAAACACACGGGGGCGATTGTTGGTCCGGGAGCCTTACGCTCCCACTGACTTCCGTGAATGAGACAAATCACCTCTCGGAACTCGTGTTGCCTTTTTCAAATGTTTGGAGCAATGCTGCCATCATGGGCAGAATACCCTCTAATACTGAATGTTGTCCTTGTCTGACGTAAGCTTACAGTCTAGACTGGGCAAAGCTCTGCTAAATGTGGGTTTAAAATGGTTGTCTAGATATTTCTTCTAATTAGCCTCTGTGGCGCCGCACTTAGTTCGTAGTTCTTTTTTAAATTATGACAAATGAACAAATGTTTTTCTTTTAAAGGAGTCCTTTGTTTGAAGTTTTTAAACAGGAAAGTGTAACAATTTGTAGTAATTATATCTAATTAGCCAATTTTTGAGCTGAATACTCCCAATCAACTGCTGATTCTGGGGCGCATTGTAAGTCCAAAATGATTAGTCTTGACGGTACCGGGCTTTTTTTCCAAAAAATTCAATATGCTCACTTATGAACTCTGACCCTTGGCAAATTGATACACGTGTGAGACCACAACCTGACCCAGGATCCGAAATAACCTCTCATTAAAAATCCAGCCTAACTTTATCTCAACATAAAAACGCCAAAGTTGAGGATAAATAACAAACAATTCCTTCCACCTCATTATTTTCAAAGCAATAATAGCGAGAGCAAGTTGTTTTTCCCCACCAAGCGAATTTGATCATTTGCGACTGGATGAAGTGTGCAAGGTTGGGAGTAGTCCCCCAGGGAAATGTCTCGTTTGGGCAGGAGGGAAGGAAGAAAGGAGGAGCATTTATTGCTTAAAGTACTTCATCCATTATGGCTGCTAATTTTGAGCTCTGAACAGTAAAATGTCCAAATGGGTAAACATTTACTTAGCCTCTGCCTTTGGTGGAGCCGTTACAGGGTAGGATTAAAACCCACCTTCCTGAAACTCTCTAATCCAGGTAAAGTATTCCAAACACACATGAGTATAAAAAAATCTAAATTAGCTTTTTAAAATTTGATAAAAAATATTTCTTTTGTATTAATCTGCCATCTTAAAAGCCATTCAGCCCGGCTCTGATTTTTGCAAAACAAAAAATGACGTTATGGTTAAACCCAAATTGAGGGAGAAAAGTTATTAAAAATGGTTGTACAAGTCTCGAGTGTGGATTCAAGAGGTTTGCCATACAAGTAGAACCTAGGTAGAGGTGGAATCAGGATATTCGTTGCCTGACTCAGAGAAGATTTGCCAACCATAGCCCATGAAAGCCATGCGGCCCCTCAGTCCCTGTTCATAATACACCTATGTTTTGGTCTGGAGCAAAACATTCTGCCTGTAAATACTACATGATGTAACCTGGTAAAGGCCATATGTCACCTATATGTGACGCTTATGTTTATGCTGTTAAAAGGATGGATTAAAATTGTAACTACCCCGTAGATTTACCACCTGATTCTTTTTTGATGAGGGTTTTTATCAAGAGATTTTCAATCTATATCAAACCTAGGTTGGGATGGAATTGAGACGTCAGATGCCTGGCCTAGAGAAGACCTGCCAACTACAGTCTGCGAGCAGTATAGTGCTCAAAAATGCAAAAAAACTAATTTTCCTCAAACTGTAAACGTTTAACATTTAATTTGTCCTCTAAGAATAAACAAATCCGGCCTCAAGTGCCATCAGATTAAATTTCAGCCACCTAGAAGTTGATAAGGTCAATATTTCACATATACGTGACGTTCACAGTAAGAGTATTAAAGAACATGAATTAAAACCTTAAATATTTCGAGGAATTTGCCATATAAGCCAAACCTAGGGTGAGATGGAATTAGGACACTCTTTGCATAACCCAGGGAAGACTTGTTAACCACAGCCTGTGAAAGACATGCCACTCCAAAATGAAGAGAAAGCATAAGTATTCACAGACAGCAAAAATTTCACATTTGCCTAATGTTATAGATCAAACCGATCTGTCGTCAAATACTGCCTGATTTAATATCAGTTACCTAGATATTGATAAGACAATATGTCACATGCGTGTCAAGCTGGAGGTGAAGGCGCTAAAGGTGGATTAAAATCTTCAATTCCCCATGGATTTGCTTTTAAATCTTTATTGAAATGAAAATTATTTACAAAATATTTGCTGTGCAATTCAGATTGAAGTTGTGGTGGCAATAAAGCTCTCTTTGGCCAGCCCAGAGAAATGCCAACTACAGTTTGAGGAAGATTTGAATTGAATCAAGCAATACTGTTTAGAAGGGAAATATCACTACTTTCAGACTGCAAACATTATGTATCTACCTTGATGTTCTAGACTAAACCAATCCGTTGGAAAATAGCACCTGATGCAGTCTCAGTCACTTAGACCCTGATAACAGACGTGTCACATATATGTGACGCCGGAGGTGAAGGTGTTTAAGGGGATAATAAGTTTAATTTTGACTAATTTTAGGTAAGAGTCCTTTGCAAAAGATTTACTACTTAGGACAAGCCATCGCTGAGGTGGTATTAGGATGTTCGTTGCCCAACTCAGAGAAGGATTGCTAGCCACAGTCTACGGAAGCTAAGCTGCTCAGAAACTAAGAGAAAATACTATGGTTCTCAGCCCGTGAACAATTCACTTCCATATTATTGTTATAAACTGAGTCAAGTCCCTGTGCAAATGCTACTTGATGTCGTCTTAGCAACCCCGAAGCTAATAACTACCATGTCACGTATGTGTGACGCTGGGGGTGAGGGTGTTAGAGAGGATGTATTAAACCTTAAACGCCATGTAGGCTTGATTTTGGATTTTTCATCGTTGCATTTAGTAATTAAATTAAAATTATTATAAAATTTGTTTTAAATAATTCATTTTTTTACGTCCTTTGTGCGATATAAACTGGGGATTTTTTTGACGTCTCTAATCTTACATATCAATTGGAACAAGGGATTGCACCGAAATGGTCTGCCTGTCACGTTGACTTGGCATAGTCGCGTCAAAGTTGTCAGATAATGATGCTGAGTTTAAGGCCTTATTTATCAAATAAAGATAAGAAATAAATCCCATGATTTATCCACTTTAGTTGGATTTAATTTATCCCTCCACAATTAATCACTGTCAATGTGTTGCTGCGATTTGAGTCTACATGATAAACACCTATTGAATGGTTGTTTACTACTAGCCCACAGAGGGGATGAATGATTATGGGCAAATCGCTTGGACAGCGGACCGAACATGTAAAAGGCCATCAGCCCACCGCATAGTAGTTCTCTCCTTTTGGGAGCCCTCTACGGCATTTTCGATGATTTTCTCTTCCCTTTGGACCGCATTGAGCATTCAAGTGACACGTTTGACAATGCCATAACAAATTCGAGCTATGGAAGAAATGCTGTGGACCACGTTAGGATTCCGAAATGTATCAAGCCCTCTCTATGGAGAAATTTAGGGTGAATAATTTATTGCGGAGAGTGTACCAAAGTCCGCATGCCATATCTCAACCCCTTTTTTGTGGTCAAGGGAAGAAAGTGTCACGTTCTCCGATCCTGATAATAAATTGTCGTCTACAAAAAAAGCAATGTCGTGACATTTCATTCCTTATCAACTATTCCCATCCCGATCCTTGCATGCACCGACTTAACTTTGCTGCGTTAGGTTATCCTTTGAAACATGCCCTGCTTTGGCCTTTGAATTTGGTTCCATTGTTTAAAATTTACTCTAAGATGGAGTCTGGGCAGCAAAGGTCAGTAAACGAATTGGATGCAGAATAGTATATTCCATTGTTAAAAACTTGCCAATTTCTGTCTTCAGATATGCTAATTTGACAATCTTGGAAAAAAGTGACTAAAAAGCTAGAGAATTGCACTAACTAGTGTTAAAAGAGAGAGGCCATTAAGCATTAGGGAAGAAGTAAATGTTACAATTTCCTTTCTATCTTCTTTTTCCCCATCTTTAAGTAAACAGTGGAATTCCTCGTACAGTTACTATGAAAACTCTTACGAAAAAAGAGTATTCTCCTTTCTTTGAAGGTTTGTGATTCATCTAGTCTCCATTCCGATTGTATAATCTGCTGCGATGTTCTAATTGTTCATTCAATTGTCTGTTTTGGTAACGAACCAATGAGAAACGCGCCATTGTACTTCTGCCGAATCGCCTGGTCTCCAGGCCATACCAGGAGTCCCCAAGCTTTTCTGTAGGTTGATGATACATTCTGCCCAAGCTATATGCCTTTCTTCGTCTTCAAGGAAGTTTCAGGGCACCACACTACAAGGCAAAGCCGGTAATACCCCCTTATTAGGCCGATTAATGGCGGTGAAGGGGACAGTTACGTTCCTTCTCCTTCGTCTTTCACTCAGATCACGGGCTCAGACTATGATGGAATCCAGATTGCAGTATGACCTTTTACCTTCTTCCTCGTTGAAGTGATCCTTACATTTTCTTTGCGGGATAGTTGCTGACCTTCTCTACTCAAACTCGTTGAAGTCTTAGATTCCCTGCTGCAGAAAAAAGCCAGATTGCCATCAATGAGACCAAACAAGTCTGCTGCGGGTGTGGACTGTTTAAGTAAGTCCGTAAACATCCCCGCAAACCTACTGAATCCGTGTGTATCCTACTTCGGTCAAGTATTCTATTCATTCGATTCCCCTCCAATTGTCAACCCTGCCAATCAATTGCAAGACCGAAGTCAATCAGGCAGCTCTCATTACCTGCATCATGTTATAGCCACCACCAAGGGAGGTACTAACAGAAATCGGGGCCTGTCAGTTAATTCTGCCGCACCAAACAAAAGGCTCACAAACGCAGGGGAAGAAAGTGGCCGACTCCTCTACGTATCAAATTAAAAAGATCAAAAAATTTCAATTTAGAAAATTTGTAGGCAGTAAAAACGGAATCATTAAATCTTTAAATAAATAAAGGAAATGCGATGTCGTTTCTGCGCATTTGGCTTATCAAAGTTAGTAGATAACACTGTCAATGTGCCTATATCTCATCTGGGCATACATAATTTAGGGCAAATGAATTGTCATGCCTCCTTACCCAACTCCTACAGCAATCCTTTTAAAATACGCATTTGTTCAAATGCATTCTTTATCTTTGTTTTTTTTTTAAATTTACTCTAACGAAACGTCAGAAGACCAAGGAGGTTTATGGTGGGTTTTGTAATCATCAGGGACTTGTAAAATATGTGCTGTTATTTATATGCCTGTGTTGGAGAGCATCGAGATGCGATGGTTCCTATAGCCTCCGTGTTGCTCTGAACTCTCAGACCACAAACTGTGGGTCTAGTCTGATAGATGTGACTACAGGTGATGTGCCTTTGCGAACCCAGCTTAGACCGAGACCAGAGGTGGAGGCGATTATTCTCAAGAAACGTTTTGACTCATGAGGTAAATTGGGATACAAGAGCGATGCCCCTTTTACTTTCTTCCTACTCCCATTTTCATCCTTCGTACTCACCTTATGGCATTTCTCCAGGCTCCATATCATTGCCACCATCTCAGTGGCAGCCAAACCTGATAAGACCATGGTTGCAAGCAAAAGAGAATGGATAGTTGGGAAGTAAAGGTGAGACGATGGGCAGAAAGGAAGTAAGATGCTTAGGGGTGAAATTCTTCTAGGTCTTAACAGACAGCTGTTGGATAAAGTGGAATTCACAGCTGGATTTTCTTTTAGGTAGGAAAAGATGAGAAGAAGTGATGATGAAGAAGAAGCTGTCAAGAAATATTTTTATTAAATTTTTTTCTACCTGATTGCTCAGCTTCAAATATGGTAAAACGATGACGAAACGATTTCGCAGTGTAGAATTTGTGGCCATCGTACTTTCCTCAGGTGGGATGGAGGAGAAAAGAATTTTATTTATGTAAAGGAGGAACTGTGCGACCTTTTGGCTTCCAGTCCACAGCCCTGTGATTTATTTCCTCACCGCAACGGAGACAAGTAAATCTCCATTCAAACTGTATTGGCCCGAAAAAATATAAACGCAATGACTGGACTTACAGTAGAGAAAAATAAGTCAGACATCTCGTCAAATCCGGTGCTTTAAGAAATTTTCCAGCCAATATGGAGCGATTTGAATTTGTAAAACCAAATTTAAGAACCAGAAAATCGGCGTCACTAAATTATTGAATTAATGAGAGTAATACATAAAAATCAGCTTCGTAGTATCAAAATCTTCACTAATACTGCTGTTATCAGTGGTATCTATTGCTGATAGGTGACAGCAATAAACACATTTGAGTCATTGGCCCTTCAAAGTCGGCTTGAGATAAAACAGCAAATAAATGCAAAGCATTTGATGTCTACTGCTTCAGGAAAGACAATAAAAATGGCAGAGAAAAAAGGATTAATAAAAGGAAAAACAAAGCATCAAAGCATCGACCATCAGTAA